TAACGGTAAAGGCTTTGTAATGAATGTAACAGCATTTACTGTACCCTTTTAGTGTTTTATTTTATGAATACAATCAATAAGAAACAAAAGGAAAAAAAACCTGTAAGGTTTCAGGTCTTAAATTACATCTAAAGGGGCGTTTTTTTTTAACGTTATGTGTGTTACCTTTATTTATTAAATATCATGTTCTACGTACTCAAACCATAAAATTCAATTCAACAGCAATATCACAAAATAATTTTAAAATGAGCATATCTTTGGAATTTCCGATATAGTCTCGTGCGCTGGAGATAAAAATGTTTTTTTTCGTACAGTGTTGCCATTGCTCGCTTTGAAATTGTCGAGTTTGTTAATCAAAAATTCGTTGACAAAATATGAAATAAAAAAAATCTGAAAGGTTTCAGATTTTAAATTATGTTCAGAAGGGCGTTTTTTTAACTGTTTGTGTGTTACCTTTATTTATTAAATATCATGTTCTTTGCACTTAAACCATACAATTCAGTTCAAGAGCAATATCGTAAAATAATTTGTAAATGAGCATATCTTTATAATTTCCGATACACAGTTTTGCGCGCTAGTAAAATGATTTTTTCCCTGTGTTGTCCTTGCTCGCTTCGAAATCCTTGAGTTTGTTAATCAAAAATTCGTTAAAGTTTCACAAAATATGAAATCGATAATAAAATAAATTCCAAATTTCAAATTTGGTCTTCCACATGCCCATATGCGTAGGAGGATTACGTCATTTAAAATTCGATGGCTCTATGTACCGTTGTTTTATCACAATGCGAGAAATATACATACATTTATGCAGATTTTTCATTATATAATTTCTTCAAATATAATGCAGGACTCTAACATTTGGTGGCAACAGTTTGAAAAGTGAAACGGACATTCAACGTAAAATCGCAAAACGAAAACAATAGTCCTTCAGGGACAAAGCCCCTTTGGACTAATAATAAAACAGATTTCAAATTCAAATTAGGGCTTCCACATGCCCATATCCTATAGGAAGATTAATCATAGTTTGATGGCTTTAGGTACCGTTGTTTTATCACTATGCGAGAAGCATACATACATTTATGCAGAAATTTCTTTAAATATAATACAGGGCTCTAATATTTGGTGGCAACAATTTGAAAAGCGATTCGCCGTTTATAGTTCTCAACGCAAAATGCCAAAACGAAATTAATAGACCTTCAGGTCAAATTTCCCCTTTGGACTAATAGGAAGTTTATCAAAATTTATGCTGGCAGCTCAGATTAAAAAAAAAAATTGAATCTTTTGAAAAGTTTAAAAGTTAACTCAAAATATAGAAAATTTAATGGCAATGTTTTTACACAATTCTCTTGCTAACTTCAATTTTATCCAATTTCTCGAAGCGCAGGTTTATTAAATTTCTAATACTGTTTATTTATGTATTTAACAAAATATGGAAACCGATTTAACAGAAAGCGTCAATTCCTCGAATGAGAGCAGGGACAAATTTAAACTTAGCGTGTATTTTTGGTATGTATCGTTTACATAAGCTTATTTTGAATATTAAATGATACGCTGTGCCAAGTTAAAGACTTGTCAACTGGCAACAGGAAGCACTTTTGCGGACATTTAACCGAGGTTGGTTATGCTACTTCAAGATGAGTAATATTTCGCCGTAACGATGCATCCTCAAATTTCATCCACCGGGTGAGTGATAGCCCGAAATCAACAACGGCCTGGAAACCAAACGAGGCTGAAATTTAAACTTCGTTTTAATTAACCGTATCCAATTAATAATAATCCTGCCGCCTGAGACGCCAAGATAGAGTGTCACTTGGCCGTTGCTCGGTGGTAGGGGTGTTGCTATCACAACCGCAGTTTAGAGTTGGAGTTTGCTGTAATTAACTGTGACCGGAGAGCCAGGATTATGTTCGGAGGTGTTGCTGTTGACGGTAGGGAATTCAAGATAGCTGTTGCTTCCCCGCATAGGAAGTTAGTGGGCAGGGAGTGATTCGCGTTATGGGAATACGGAAGTCGCACCGATTGGTGGAAATAGATTAATGACGCAGAATCGGTGAGATTTATTGGTGCTTAGCAAGTATTTAATGAAAATCCGAGTAATTTATTGTTAATAGAGGAGGAATGTGACCTAAAATGCTGTGCATTTATTTTTGAAAGCGTTGCTGCTTTGGGGTTAACAAACAATATCGATAAATGACTATTATGTGTGTATGTATGACCATAATTTTATCTTAACAATATTTTGGGGACTTTTTAGTATTAATTAATTGTTTCATTAGGAAACCATATAAAAAAAACACTTTAAAATGAGACTGCATCACAAGGTATATGCCCCCTTTTTTATAAAGGGCTTTCCTGGACGGGAGGGCTTTATTAAAGAACTTAGGAACAATTAGGAGCTAACTGTTATTTACCTGGAGTCCCAAAAATATTCCATTTGTAATTATTTGTAAACTTAATATGTTAAGTTTAGCTATATGAATTTCATAAAATATGTGGTAAGTTATCTGAATTGAAACTCTTTATGTATTTCTAACATATTTATAGTGATTCTATTAGTAATTATCGCGTCCCTCCGTGCGTGATCTTGTGGTATAAATGGTCAATTCTCCAATTAGCATTTGGAAGATCTGTGATTTGAATCGCGGTGACAGTTGAGATGATTTTTTTATGCTTTCTTGCTTCAAAAAATCTGATGATTTCTGCAGTTATGTGTTGCTGATGACTTAAGAGAGTATTTTCTCATTTTCGTTATTTACCATATTAAGTTTTAATTGGGGAGCTATATTAAAATGAAAACTGGTGATAGATTTGGATTAACTGAAGCTTCATTTTACGTATACAGATGCTCGGAAATATCAGATTAAAACTTCAACAGGTCAACCTTCATTTTTTTAACTTAACACGTAAATACAATTAACCATGCATTGATATTTTATCTGTACTTTGGGTATACTACGAAATAAATTGTTTATATGGGTACAGAGACCTGATAAGAAGTGGCACAGAAATGCAGATCCCTAAGACATTTGCGCTAAATATAGTTTGAAGAGAGCATTTTTTATAGATTCTCATAAGGTAAATATTTATATTAAAGTGTTTTCATTTGAGTTAAAAATGTGTTTGAATGTGTTTAGCTACTGTCAAATTTTTAAAGTCTTGGAAAAAATGTAACGTTTCTAAAGATATATTTTCTAATGAAAACCTTGTAAAGACATTAGGATTTTTTTCGAAGCAGGAAAGATGAAAAATAAGCAACGTCCGCCCTCGACGGGAATCGGACCACGGACCTCTGGCATACGCGCCCAGAGTGCAAACCACTACAGTACGAAGGTATGCTAAGAAGGCAGGAGAAATATCTTATATACTCCCCCTTTTAAAGGGCGACTGGGGGTTTTAGGGAACCCAATCGCCAAATCCTAGGTGTGGAGATTCATCATCCACCACCCTTTCGAGCGCCACTGTAGATACATTAGGATTTTTTTCAAAGCAGGAAAGATAAAAAATGAGCAACGCCCTCTCCGGGAATCGTATCACAAACCTCTGGAATACGCACCCAGCGTGCAGACCACTACATTACGAAGGCATCCTAAGAAAGCGGGAGAAATACCGTGTAACCTTTAGTAAAGAATGCCATAAAATATTTTAAAACTGTATAAGGTTATTATTATTTTGCCTAAACCATTTATTTATAATTTGTGATTTCTCCTTTTCGTTTCCTCACTAGAAATGTGTAAATAAGCATAGGGAGTATTTAAGTTGAGGTTTGGGAATTTTCGTCCACTCGTTGCCGCGTTGTTCTAGTCCTGCCATCTCGGTTAAAATTGTAATTATTCGGCTTTGCATTAACTGCTGCTGACATTTAAGTTGTTACGCCAGTTTTGAGCTAACTTCGTTTTAAATTTACTGGTGTAGTGTTTGATTCCTAGTCTGTATTTTAATTTGAATTTTACTGTTATTTTAGTTGCATCGCCACAAGTGATGGTCGATCCTGTGAGCACGAGAGGTGTTCACAGGATCTTGTTTACAGGATGTTTAAAGTTCTGTTAAATAAACAGGTTGTTTTAAACCATATCAAGTGTACTTCTTATTTTTTAAATACAAGTTGTAAAGTAAAACAGAATCTTCATTTAATCCAAACTTCATATGAACTTCATTTAGTCCAAACTTCGCTTAACTTGAAAAAAAGAAAAGAAATATTGTAGAGTCATAATTTTTGATGTTTTTATTAACCAATTTTTCCCGTATTTCATTCCATAGAGTTAAAGCTACATTTTGCAATAAAATTACATGATTCCCGTATGTGATATGCAAAAATGTTGAAATGTGTAAATCATTCATTGATGAATTTCATAAATTAAAGTTCATGTTGAACTGAAATCATAAACTGAAAGTTGCTAATATACTGAAAATGAAAACATCGTATATTCCAATAAATTAAAAAATAGGTGAGAATTTTTGCCACTTACCATGAGAAAATTTTACAGTAGGAGTTCGGAGAGGATTTTTGAAATGAAACCGTATTGGTATTTATTAGACGTTATTAGTTTTTTTAATTCATGTTTTTTCATGGCCGTTACATTGGACAAGTTCCAATGCGGTTAAATATCAATTAATTTTTAACAACTGTTTTTTAATTTCATTCGTCAAACATTAGTTCAATAATTTGGAAGTAAAAATAGGTTAAACTACTCCTAAAAGTTTATAATATTAAACAAACAAAAATCTTTCTTTACTGTATAATAATTTTTAGCCTGTAGAGACCTTAGAGGTTTTGATGCTGGAGACTTGAAAAATGTGCAGAGTCGTCCTCAGGATTCGAACTCCAGACCTCCCGAATAACGCGTCGAGTGTATTTTCAGTTACATCACGAGAGTATGCGCAAAGGAAAGAGAAAATACTTTATAAGCATATCATAAATATGGAACTAAATTCCATAATATTTTCTGTTTTTTGAAATACTAACACATAGCATGGCATTTACAATTTTCTTTTAATTTCAGACATTTGGCGAGAAATCCTTTTATTTGCGACTGCAATCTCCGATGGTTGGCGGAATACTTACACGCCAATCCTATAGAGACAAGCGGAGCGAGATGTGAGACTCCACGTCGCATGCATCGACGACGGATTAGTCAAATGAGGGAGACCAAATACAAATGTAAAGGTATATTTCCCTACTTTGGTGGTGGTACCTTTTCTTTTCTTCTCAAAATTATACAATTATTGCTTCATTGTCTTGCGCATTTTACTGGACACATTTGCCTTAATTTAAACATGTGCTATATAAACTTAATGGTTTTAATACTATAACCAAGAAGTATTAAGGCAAGTCGCTAACAGCTTAAAGACAAAAGTCAGTCATTTGCAATTATATAAATAACAGGGAACCCCAGTAAACTGAAAATATCTTCACCGAAAACCGGTTTAACCGAAATAATTGAGAAAAATAACTCATAAAAAATAATTATCTGACGTTATTTTGAAAACGAACTATTTCCATTGTTCCATTATTTAATAGTGAATTCATAATTTAAAATAATGGACTAAGATGACTTTCAGGTGTCTATTTTCGCTGATAAATTATACTAATTAAATTTGATTTTGTACGAATATTAAAGGTTTGGTATTAAGGTTTGATTTTGTATGAAAGATTCTAAATTTAAGATTCAAAGCCAAGATAATTTTTAATTTAGATTGGTGCTAGTTAATTAGGTAAATATCTAAGTTTTCATTTCTTACCTCAAAAGTATTTTTTTTTCAATAAAATAGTTTCAGAATAAATTTGAATTTTTCTAAAATATTAAACAAACACTGTGACTTTTAAATAAACTTCCATCTTGTGTTGCGCTTTAGAATTAAACATTTTGCGCTCAAAAATATCTTTTGCTTTAAGTGCATTGATAAAAATAGTCGAGATTTTCATTTCTCTTACTTTAAAGAAATGCGCAGGTGCTCTTCAAGCATCAGTTTCTGTACCTGAATATGCAGGCTGTCATGCTGCGGGTCATATCAGATTTTTATATCGTGAATGCATAACATTAGTTCACTTTTCTCATATCCTGATTGTTGAAACTGATGCAGAGTAGGGGAAATTCTTAGGTGGGGAATGCACAGAGGGCGAGTTGGAATGCAGGATAAGGCATGCTGTGCAAACGAGAGCAATGACAAGCGCGTTGACAGCACCATCCACTTTGACTGTCAGCCCCTCTCAAAACTCTGTCATCTCACTGTGATCTTTTCTAGAGTTGACATGGCTCACGATAGGCGAGCGGAGGTGAAGTTTTCAGCAAATCTTTCAGTGCAGTTATCTCTAATGGGTCTGGCATTCGCTAGTTCGAAGTTTAGTGTCGCATTTGTTTTAATCGCCGGTTTCTTGAGCGTTTATTTTTGGAATTAATTCAGCCATCCTTTGGAGGCCCTTTGAGGTCTTGAGGCGATTCACTTTTAATTTCTTACAAGAAAATATTTGACAGAAACGTAATTTTCTACGAAGAGGAAAGAGTATGTCTAGTTTTGTCACTACTGGATTTCGCTGCAAGTTTTTCAAATAAATTATTTTTTGACTGATTTCAGCGGAATTCGAAGACTCATTTACCGGTGAAAGTAACTCGGTATTTACCTAAGGTTAATTTATAATTTCATGCCCATTACTGTCTACAGTTAGCAACAGCCACATGAGATTGCTTTACGAGTCTTGCAGTGCGATTTCCTAAATTTTACATTAACGCTAAAGCGGGACCGACACCAGAGCTGGTGCAAACAGTGCGCTCCCACCGGGCGACAAAGGTTTACATGCATTGGGGTAGCAGACCATAGGAAAGGTGCATATTTGATCGGCGACTAAAACCCCACCGCTGGCTTTTCTTGAAAGAAGATACACTCAGATAGGGAACAAATAGAAATACACTCAGATAAATAGCTACGTATTGTGCCACACTAAGCATACAGATGTTAGACGTTGGTAAAACAGTAAACATAACTAATACTTTAAGTAAAATGGCTGTAAAAATTGCAAATATATAAGCACTTTTATACTGGAGACTTCATCTGTATAGATTAGTTACTAAACTTTGCATTCATTTAACTAAATTAATGAGTAGATTCTATTTGGAATAACATTAACTAAATATGTCAACATATTTTGTGATGATCTACAGTGCTAAGTATATATAATTTTGTTCGCATAATAGGTAATGCTGCATACTTTCCCAATGTTGCTTTGAGGTATTATAATCATTATCGATGCATTATTGTATTAGCTATCCTGACTGGACTTCTCGTTGACAGGTTTTGAATGGCAGTTTAAGTGGAATTTACTGCTACTACTGTATCTGAGAGATATATCGTCCATTTAATTGATATGTAAACATATGTTTAATATCATAAAAGAGGAGATTGTGACAGCGATGATAAGCGGCACGTTTAAAGAACGCTTCAGAAGTAATAATTTGTTAACTACTGTTTACGTTAAAGCGAAAATTGCAACCCTGAATGAGGGTAACTTTTGTTTCATTAAACATAGCAATGAATCTATACAAGTTGATGTACTGCTCATTAAATAATGGCCTGTCTTAGTCGCTTCTAAATATTTAGGTAACTCATTATTTTAAGAAACGTAGATATGATCATTTATTTAAAACCATTTTTGTTTAAAATGTTATAAATACCTTTTTTATACGTACATCTTCAGTTGCCGAAGACAGGAAAAGAAAATCTGCTACCCTAGTTAAGACAAATCGGGATCTTCTAATCGCTTTACGGATCACTTTTCAGTTCTAAATAAGTTTTCAGTATAAATACAATTTGACTTACCGTTTTTTAATTAATCTTATTTTAAATTAATTTTCAAATTGCTATCTACCTCAAATAATCATATGTTATTTAAAATCACCTTATGATTTAGCATTATTTTATTTGTTTTATGGTCAATTCTGCTTTAAAATGTTGCCTATTCAGCGCCATTTAGTTTTGAAATTTTTTATTCTTAGCAGTCGCTTTATGCTAGAGATTGAACACTGAAATGAAATTCAAATCTTAAAACACTATCGCATATTTATTATGTTTTTTATAAAATACAGTTATAGCACATCTGAAATACGTGATTTATTTTACATGATGCGATATTTTCTCAATGTTTTCTTTTTATCTCATACAGGTAATGAAACCTTTTGAGTTTCAGTTAGCATTTATACAAATTGTAATTTGAAATTCACACTTAGATATTCATATGCCTTAACGCTCTTTCTTGCTATTTTAAACTTATTTAATTTGTATTTCTGGGGCTTTAACGAAAAAATAGAAGTGTCGGAAAGAATCACCGTAAAAAATAAAGTGTTAATTAAAACAAACTTTACAAACCAGTGTGTAATTTTCAAGTGAAAGAAGGGAGGGGGAAATAGTTTCTTTAAACTGTTTATTTTTTTCTCTCTTCTGTATCTTGCTCAGCTTAGACCCATACTTTCAGTTTCTTTTGTGACAATTTCGTTTGTTTCAGTCAATCACGAAGACAACCATCACTAAGGTTGTCAGTTTGATTGGCTGGCTCGAAAAAGGCTGGCACCAAAATAGCCTGCGTACGTTGTCTCCAAAACGCATTTCTTCATCCTCTACGTATAGCCGAAGCTTTTCAACGAATCCGCAATGTCGCACCAAAATAGTTCTATTAATTGTCTTATTCTTTGTTCTCTTTAAAAACGGCAAACTAATTTAGTCTGCAGGTCCTGAACTTTCCGATTCTGATTTCGAATTTAAAATGCGTTCTGCTAAATACAGTTAAGCTTCAGTTATTTGAACTGAGTGGTACCAGGAAGGGTTCATATACCGAAATTGTTCGGTTAGAGGTTTAATTAAAGGGTACTTTTCCGTTCCGCCGACGGAAAACTCGCCAAGCAGACTTTGTTGGCGACAGCATACAATATACGCATAAAAAATGTTAACAGATGTTAGTTCTAAGAATTTTTTTATTTTGAAAGCATAAACATTTTAATATGGTTTTTAAATTTTGTAAAAAGCCAGGGTACTTTCCCGTTTCGCCGGCGCAAATCTCGCCAAGCAGACTTTGTTGGCGACAGCATACAGTATACGCATAAAAAATTTTAACAGTTGTCAGTTCTATTTTGAAGGCATAAACATTTTAATATCGTTTAAAATACGAATTGCTTACTCAGAAATTATGTAAAACTGCAGTGCTTTTCTTCCGTAGTGCATTCTCATGAGAATTAATGAATTTAACCCTTGATGACTTTGCTTTTTGTATATTTTCGGCTTCCGGTAAGCAGTGTAATTGCATTCTAATTGACTTAATTACCGCGAATGGCCTTAGGGCATAAAATTGAACTATCTAGTAAACATTCTATGTAGTTGTATGTCAGTATTGAAAGAAACAATCAATACGAAAAGAAATGGAGCGACTTGTTTTGGAAATGAGGCGTAAAAGGTTACCATCGAGGATATTCCGTTTGGCATTAGTTTTACCATTATTGGCGACTTTATCGCCTGCGCCGGCAAACGGAAAAGTACCAATTAAAGATTTTGATATGCCTCGCATAGAAATTACATAACATTAACACATGAAAGGCGGGGGATCTTGACGAAAGTATGCTAGGTAACGCGGCCACCGCTTCGCCTCGTTTTTCGTCCTAGAGCGGGCGATATTTTGTGTAATCATAGAAAAATTTAGACTTAAAAAAGTTTATTTAAACTCTTAAAACTACAAGAAATATTTATGAGAAGAATCTAGTATTTTATATGAGTGTGATAATGTTGATAACACTCGCCACGGTGAAGTTGTGCATTGCAAAACTCGCATTTGAAGCAAGTCAACTTTTTTTTTTTATGTGCCGCACAAACTAAGCAGTTTCGTTGGGCATATAGCTTTATACCTTTATTTTCTAGCCGAATTAATTTGTGCTTTTTGATGTCTAGCGAAAGACATCCAGGCGGATCAATTTTATATCGTGGGGTCCGTGATGCCGAGTTCGATGTACCAGGTTGTGGCTGTTTCTCTTTTGTGTCCATCAAATCGTCTGCATATATATCTTTATTTTCACATGAAACCATATTGAAGGATTTCAAAATTAACTGTAAGTAGAATTTGAGCAACCGAACAGCTTCAAACCACAAAACATAATAAATACAAATGTAAAGTGGCACATGGCAATCCAT